ATTAAAATAGTAATATTTTTGATAGAGCTGTAACTGCTTAAAGGTTGGATAGTTTTACTAGTATTATGCAGTAAAAATGAGAATGAAAAAAAATCTTGGGGGGACTTCTTGGAAATTTGGACCACACGTGGAATATGAGTTTCACTTTTTTTTCGTGCTTCATGATGCGCAAAAAAAATTCGATGCACACCCCTCTAAATTATGACCCCTGCTCGTACTTACCGTATGGTACTGTACCACAACTTTTTCGTATTTTAATCACAAGTTAAAATCATGGTACTACGAGTTTCATAACAATTGAAACTGGGGTCGCGCAGCGCGCAAGTGCACTCAAGTTAATACTTAAAGCGTTAAAACAAAGTTAAGAACTTTGAATCAAAGTTGTCAACTTCCAGCGAAAGTTGCCAACTATGCTAGGTAGGCCTACGTAAGATTAGTACTAGCCCCGTTAGGGGCACGCCGGCTGGCCAACAGCTGCTGATCCAGCTGATCATCAAGCTGCTCAGCGAGGAGCAAAATTGATCTATTTGGATGGATCCTAGTACAAAGCTGTGTAGAAAATCCTGTAGAAAATCGTGGATCAAGGTACTTGCCTTGAGATTTTGGTCAAAATAGAAGGGTTTTGTCTCCGGGTACAAAATTGTACTGTGTCCTACTATCTTGACCTAAACTTCCCTCCAGTACGCTGATACAGCGTGCTAATTTAGCGTGCTGATACAGCGTGCAAAATTAAACTGTTCTTTTCATTCTATCGAAAACCTCCCCGGTTCAAAGCAACTGACCATGGGAATTGGTCTATTTCAAGTACTTCCACTCAATCTTATACACTGTACTTGGTATCAATCGATAGCTCTCTTCGATTGTCGTTTTAACAAGCCCTTAACTGTAGCAAACAAGCAAGTGTAACAGATTTTATAGTGTGTTCAGTGTAGCTTCTTTTTTTTACGATGAGACTGCTTCTTCTGACGTCGGCAATCAGCAGTATGAGCACCGATCCAGCAGATAAGGTAGCAAAGATCAGAGCTTGCAATGGCCTCTCTAGACTAACACAACAAACGCGAGCTGAGAGGCCTCACCCTGGAAAGGGAGGGAGTAGAGGCTATCCTGTCTTTGTAAGAGAGCTGGAACTGCAAAGGAAGGACAATGGTCTTCCTCCTGTTTTTGCTAGCAAGGCGTCTCTTTCAAGATGGAGCATGCGTCTTGATCCATACAGAATGACAGGCAACAGTGACCAGGGCAAGTTGGTTGGACCAGACCAGATGCTTCTTGCTATTGGTTTGACTATCAATCCTTCTGCTAGTGCAGATGAGTACGCCACATTCATCTACAATCAGGGGGGGGGGGTCTATTCTAGAGTAGATATCTCCAGGAGACTGAATGGAATGAAGCTCACCAGGAAGAGGGCATCGACTGAAGCCTACCAAGCCTTCACCTTTAGGAACAGGAGAAGATGTGAGTGGTTCTGGAATCTTCCTCCCCCCCTTGGAGTAGTTGGCATCCCAAGGAGGAAGTTTATAGACGTGGATGAGTTTGGTTTCAACCTGCAGAGGACCAACTGCAGGTATGGATGGGCTTTCATAAGAAGTAGAGTTAGGAAGATAGGACACTATGAGAGAACTGACAAGCTCACTGTTCTCTTTGCTGTGGAGCCAGGGGATCCGCAGCTTCCTCCTGAGACCAGGGGAAGCGTTGCCAATCCAAGGAGGTGGATTGAAGTGATCAGAGCTGGGGGGACCTCAGCCTGGACCTTTGCTCAGTTCATTGATGAGATCTGCACTGATATTGAGCAGCATCCGGCCCCAGGGGATACTGACGCTGAAAGAGTATTCCTCTGGGACAATCTTGGAGCTCATCTAACAAATGTAGTAGCTCAAACAGTTGAGGTGAGACCAGCTGGGGGAGGGACTGTCTTCAGCGCTGTCCCACGCCCCCCTTACCAACCAAAGTATGGTCCCATTGAGTACAAGATCTGTGATCTAATCGGTGCCGTAAGCAAGATGGCAAGGCCTCACTGGACCACTGCGGATCTGGAGCACGCCATTAGAACTGAGGCCTTTAGGTCACTTGCTCCCTTTGATTCAACCTTTGACCACTGTGGATATACTGTGGATGGGGTCTATGAACCTAGGACATATTAGAAAGCAGCAACAACAGCACCTCGATGGTCTCCAGCAAGTAAGCTGGATTTGCTGAGTCGTTGCAATGGGCTGGAGCAATCCACTGGAGCGTGGCTTGCTGGCGTGGTGACTCATCCTGGGCCTGTGGAAACTGAATCATGCTGGTCAAGCCTGGATTCCAGCAGTCACCTACTGGAGCAGCTTCCTTGGATGCTCAATCGATTCGGATGAACGCGAATCGACTAGATCGATTGAATACAGTTACAGTCGGTTGAATCGATTGACCAGCATACTTAAGAGGAATGGATCCGCGAGATCCTTCCATTCTACAGCAACAGTACTATTTGTATACACTTTATCTTTAGTAAGGATCATATCTACCAAGAGTAGTTGCAATAGACTTGAGCAATACCCCAAGGACCAGCGAGACGCGCCTTTGAGCTGTCCTGGGCCTACAGTTCTAGAATATACTGTAGCGCGTCTAGAATCTATAGCAAGTTGCTTTACAAACTAATATGGTCTCTATACTATTACAATAGTAGTACTACCTCAACAAGGAGGTACCTGTTGGCGTTCTATCAAACAGCAATCACAGGGATCACGACAGCACGCAACAGCTTCTCTGTTTGTACAAAAGAGACAGCGAGGCATCCTAATGGTGGAGAAACAGGAGGAAAAGAACCACCACAATTAGAATTGATGCACTCAACATTTGAATCGATGCTTTCAGTATTCAGTATTCAGCATCCATAGGAAAGGAGACAAGACAAGCCAGCGGCAATCGATTAACACTGTCTCCATAATCAAATCCAGCAGTGCTCTGGCTGCTGGGCAAGCCACCAGGACTGCTTGCCTTCTTGCTTGGAACAGCTAGCGCCTTCTTTGCAGCAGCAACAACAGGCTTCTTTCTGCTCAAAAGAGGATGCTTGGTAACTTGCTTGAGGCCCAAGCTCCGGCCTGCTGGCCGCTTCGAGCCAGTGCTTGCTGCTACTGCAAGCAAATTCAAGCCACCAGTGTTTGAAGGAGCAGGACAAGCTTGCTTCTCCTGCTGCTTTGCAAACAGCTGGCGCTTGGCAAACTTAGCCAACGAACCAGTTGCCTCCTCAACA